CCAATGGTAAGATGGAACGATGGGCCGAACATTTCAAGCAGCTACTCAATCGCAACGCTGGTCAACCGTCTCATCGACCGATACGACACTTACCAACACCCTACGTAGTTGACTGCGATCCACCCACTCCAACCGAAATAGCTAAAACAATTAACAGACTCAGAAACAAAAAAGCTCCGGGCGAAGATGGTCTACCTCCAGAAATATACAAGGCCTGCACTCCAGCGCTAATCGATCGCTGCACTCGCTGTTCTGCTCAATTTGGGAGTCCGAAACCATTCCTTCCGATTGGAGCACCTCAGTTCTGCTACCGTTCCACAAAAAGGGAGACAGGTCAATATGCGAGAACTACCGAGGCATAAGTCTGATTGATATCGCTGCTAAGGTTTTTGTTTCCATTCTCCTGAACCGCTTCGCGGCCGAACGCCACGTGCGAACAAGGCCAAATCAAGCCGGATTTCGACCTGGAAGAGGCTGTGTTGATCAATTATTCACACTGCGAAGAATTTTGGAACACAGGGACAAATTCCAACAGCCGACGGTTGCTTGCTTCATCGACTTCCGAGCGGCATTCGACTCAGTTGATCGAGGAGCACTCTGGTATCTAATGGAGCTCGACGGAGTTCCGACCAAGCTAATCAACCTGCTCAGGTCATACTACTCCAACACCAAAGCTCGAGTCCGAGTGAACGGTGAAGAGTCTCGCACTTTTGAGGTAACCAGCGGTGTCCGGCAAGGTTGTCCAGCATCCCCCATCCTGTTCAATTTCACAGTTGATTGGATTTTGCGGCACGCCCTAACCGAGCACCACGGCGTCCAACTTTCGCCCGATATTCACATAACCGACCTCGAATTCGCCGACGACGTCGTGTTATTAGCTGAAAACTTCCCCGATATGCAACAGGCGCTCGACCAGATAAACCACCTCGCGCCTACTATCGGTTTGAAAATTAACACTTCCAAAACCAAAATGTTTTCGAACACATCCACCAGCAATGATGAAATCTTATCCCTAAATGGAGCACCTATTGAAATTGTGCCATCCTTCAGATATCTGGGATCCATAATGCTCCCCAACGGCCAAGCGAAAAACGAAGTGAATGCGCGAATCTCCAACGCCCGGAATGCGTTTCTACAGCTGAGGAGCGTTCTATGGAGCAAGAGAGAAATCAGTCTCAGGACTAAAATTCGGGTCTACCAAGCTTCCATACGACCCGTTCTCCTGTATGGCTGTGAAACCTGGCCTCTTCGCGCGGAAGATTTACGCAGACTCGAGGTAGTAGACCATTGGTGCCTCAGGTACATTCTGCATGTTCGTTGGCAGGACAAACTCTCCAACGAAGAAGTGCGTCGTCGTTGCTACAACATCAACCAAATTCCAGTACTGGTCCAACAACGCCGCCTTCGGTGGTTTGGCCATGTTCTGCGCCGACCAGATGACGATCTGGTCAAATCAGTTCTAAATCCCTCGCCATTACCATCTTGGCGATGTCGCAGGGGTGGACAGCTGAAGACATGGCTTGGTACAGTCAAGGCTGATATGGAGTGCCTGGGGCTACAAACCGTCTACGGACTCCGTCTGTGGAACAAGAATTGGATAACCCTGTCGCAAAACCTTGCATCAGATCGCCGCGCCTGGGCAGCGATGATTCGAGACGTTCATGAAGCCGGCTCATCCTCCCGTAGGAGATAGCCGAAGTAAAGTAAAGTAAAGTGTAAAGCCAGCAAAGGTAACTGTTGTTAAAAGTCTGCATCATGTTGGGAATGCTTCCCGTGACACGCCAAGTCTCCCTGAACCCCACATAGAGGAAGTGATTTGACATGAATATTTGAAGATCCCAATTTTTATTCTTAATGCTGTTTGCGGCAGATTTCTACATTGGTTTCAGATTAATGAAGCGTCTATCTCGCTTCTAGCATCCTTCCTTTGATAACCCCGTAGTTTAAACAATTCTACCCAGGTAAATGGAATAAGCGAATTCTTTGAGATTTCCCCCGGTTATTATCACCTTTGTCTTCACTGGTTCTTCTGTCAAATTGTTGATTTTCGCCTATAGGTCTTAGAGTTTGTATGACATTCGACATAAATTACCTACAAAGTCCAGATCTCTCAGAGTCTTTTTATGGGGTCCAACATAAAATCCTCTCTTCGTCTTGCTCTCTCCACAATCTGCTGCATGATTCAATGACACACAATTAGAAATATTATCGATGATAGTAGAGACAGGCTTACTACGCTTTCTTCAGCATCATATCTAAAATGCATGATATTTTTACAGTGCCGAACAACTGGACGTCAACCGACTGTAAAACAAAACACGTAGATCAGCGAAGAGTCTCTTCTCGGCGGCAAATTCATTTTCTTAGCTGTACAAGTCAAAAATTCCGTCTCTTGATGTGGAACTAACAAGAACAACTAATGGGAGCCTAAGAAGATCAATCCATAGAAAACCTACTTGGAATGGTCAACTAACAAGCTTCTATAGCTGGGTACCCATTCAAAAAGAGCGGAATTTAATCAAATCACTAGCCACCCGCATCCGACGCATCTGTAGTCCCGACGTTCTGGAAACAGAATTAGATATTTTGAGAAATCTTCATCTAAAATCGATACCCAATAATATTCATTCACAAAAATATCAAACCAAGAATTTGTAGAAACGAAACTTCACTTGCGCCTAAAAAGAAACTCTACATGAACTTGGATTTCAAGGGGATTTAACGAGCGATATTCTCAAGAGAAGGATCACATCTCTGAGAAGAACATTCTTTGCAGCAACTCTAAGAATAGTATTTTCCAGTCGCCCACTGATCTGCAGAAGTCTCAAGGAAAAGATCCCGCATCTGAATACTTCTATGTGCATATATCAGTTCACCTGTTATTGTGGAGCCAACCAGGTACATCGGTCGTTCGACGCTCATACTGTCGAAGAGGATTCAAGAACACTATCCAGCCAGCATGATTGAGAAAAGGCAATAGTGGTGGTACACCTGATTAACACTAATCATTCTATTTCAACAAACGCCTCCTGCTTCAAAGTAATCTACAGAGTCAAGAATAACCTATCAAAGGCAACACGGTTTCGTCTTCTTTGTATCACTGAGGCTCTGACCATTCATATAGAAAAACCGAAGTTGTGCATACAAAAGAGAATTTACTCAACCACTTCTATTATCATGGTAACAGCTCCGTTGATTTTTGATAACTTAATTTCGTTTCTTTGCCTGTTCTTTAATTGCTTATAATTCTTGTATTCATTTAGAACTCTTACGTAATTTCGTATTCTGTGTTTTGTTCCTCTGCGTATCTTGAGTACAAATTAATCATCAAACTATTCATATTATTACGTAACTCTTTTTTAACAACTGTTTGTGACAACTCATCACCTTTGTTACTACCCTAATTTCATTAACACCTCATTTTCTTGACTTGTATTGCCAGTCTTCACCTGTTTAGTTAAAATAACCATAACCAGTTGTATTTTTGTTTGACAAACTTAATGTACACATAATTTTTCCTTCACGTTCCCAGTGGAACATAGGGCTCCAAGCTAGTGGCTTGAAGTTTCTGTAGCAGTGTTTAATTTTTACAGGATGGGGTTGCTAGCCTCATCCCCAACCTTTCCTCTTTACCAGCATTATTTCTGGCTCAGTGAGGTAAAGGAGTGCGCCGGCCGGGGATCGAACCCCGGACCATATGCATGGTCGGCGAGCGTGCTAACCGCTGTACCACCGACGCGTACACATACATACAAAATAACCCATATATATTTGCGATTGTGCAGCTAGGTAAAATGAATTCACCGCCGAAAAGAGACTCTTCGCTTATCTACGTGTTTTGCTTTCCCCATTAATGCCTGGATGGGGATTATCCATGGACTGTAAGACAAACAAACAAACAAACAAACAGGAAGTCAACTAAGTAGTGGTGAGACAAAGAAGCATAGTGTGTTTTCACAGCTACCTTTATTTTATGAATACTGATCGCAGATACTGCTTTCTAAAAACAACTCGTCAGTCCTGTTCCTATAGCCTGCGTGCATACATTGAATCGGTACTAGTCAGTCGCTGCTTGTGGAAATTTCAATTCAACCCGCCAAAAAATAAGACTACAGGAATAGATTGATTTTGTAATGGATAACAAGCACACTATGTGTGAATGCTTGCTTTACTTCGGCTATCTCCTACGGGAGGATGAGCCGGCTTCATGAACATAGTTCATGAGGTTTCATGGGAATTAGGTACGAGTGATGTACCCAGAATCGCTCGGCCTTTTGTTTGAGAGTGCAGCTCTAGCCTTTACACAACCAAGTGTGACCTACAAGGCAGTAGGAGTGGAGTAGGGAGTCCACTATCCATTGGCACCCGGTGACCGGAGTCCGATTCATACGCCTTTTTGAATGGGGCCAGACATCCAGGGCATCCAACAAGCCCTTTGTCCATACGTCTGCCGGTGAGCTCCGGTGAGCTTCATACGCCAGTCGTTGGAGGTTTGGAATCAGGGTTTAGCCATCTCCCCTAGACTGTCATCCAATGGACAGTCAACCCGGTGAAGAGCGCCGGGCATCCGCTTTCGCCCTCTCACTTCGGTGAAAACACCTCCGCCACGTGAAGGCAGTGAGTAGGAATTCCTCAGGAGAGGCTATGTAAGACGCCCGGTCATATGGGAGCATTTCAAGAGGTGTGAGGAGGAGTGGCCAACCCGCAGCGCAAGGCACCCACCCCCGACCACACCGAGGCTTTGGAGGCTGCGAATGGTGGTCATCGAAGGCTATAACTTCCTCTAAGGTCATTACTTTCAATTATTTCTGTGCATGGGCGTCGGTGGCACAGCGGTTAGGACTCTCGCCGACCATGCAGATGGTCGGGGATTAGATCCCCCTGCTGACGCACACATGATATCAATTGGTCGGTCTGGAAAATTTGGGCTGCCCATATCACATGCTGAAAATTCCACATACTTGTACCAAAAATAATCAATATATATATATATTACTCACCAATGTATCCTGTATATACAGATCCCCCAGTAGTTGGATTTGTCTTCTCTGCAATGGGATTTGGAATGTTTGCGGTTTTCACTGTACTTGTAGTAGTAGTAGTTGTTGTTGCCGTTGTCGTCGCTGTATTAGCCTCTGTCTTTTTCTGTTCTTTTTGTAATTTCATCAGTCGGTCAATTTCACGATTTTGTACTTTTGCAAGTTCTTCATAATAGGATTGAGGACCCCAACGATAAGGATCATAGATTTCCTAATCCACCACCACGAATGAAAAACAAAAGTGAGTGTTGATGAGTAGTGCAAGTAAGTAATTGATGATATTAGATGGTTAGAGCCTTGCCAGGACTTCAATTTTGTGCTAGTTGGCACTCACTCACACCCAGTCAGTCAGCATGGCAGGCGTATCTGCAACCTTAAAGGTAGGCATTTCCCTATCTGAGATTTGAACCTGCGTCACCGCCCAGTGCTGCTTGCAGTCAGAGACGTGACCACTGAGGTGTTTGGGCTAGCCATTGACCGGCTGTAGGACAGGATTGGGGACTTTGACTGGACATTAGTTAGTAACTAGTGTGGTGTGTCTGGCTAAACCTTTGTATGGTGCCGACTGAATTCTATCACAATCAGGTTTGCAATGTGGCCACCATGCCACTAAGTAGCTCGCCATCACGGTGCACATTGATTTGATGATATTAGATGGCTGGAGGTAATCGGCTTATTCTCACATATTCCCACAGTTCGATACTGCATTAGCAGCTGAATACTATTATATATATAGACTATCACTATCTCTTTTGTAACCTCATTCTATATCAGTTAACGTTGTCCATCGATGAAGGCGATGACCAGACTAGGCAAGCCTAATACATGTCTTAACCATCTCAGTCGATGTGACTTTACAACCTCGTCGATTGATTTCCCTTCCTCACCTTACTAGTGGTGTTGGTTTTTATGAGATGGAGTTGATAGCCTCACGCCTAACTTCCCCTCTGCACCGGAATCACTACCAGCTAGGCGAGGTTTAAGAGTGAGCGTCGTCGGTGGGTAATCGAACTCGACAATACGTGGGTGACTTACAGGAATTCCACGTCTGGACTACCAACACACTTCAAATCTTGGTTCTACAGTTAGATAATGTGGTAATGACCCAATATCTGATAAATTTATTAACATAGTAAATCAAATTATAAGTGGCTACACCTAAGATCCTCTATTAGGTTTACAATTAAAACAATATTAGATAGTAATAATTAATTAGTCTATACAACTCACTTTAGGAAAATTGCTGCCTTTTTCATCAATTTTTAAAAAATCTATCAACTTTTCATAAATGCTAAAATTAAAAAAAAAGAATTATAAATATTTTTTATACAATAGGCTGAAAAAAGGGTACATACCTAGGATTACGGAATGCTTTATTATCCTGAATAGCTCTATTCGGATCATAACTAATATCCAATCGCATCCGACGTACAGCACGTTCAACTCTTTCTTGTAACACCATAGAACAATGTCCAGTAGGTTCAGGCGGTAGCTGGATTTCACGAATAAGACGTTCTGTTAAACTTCTGGTTTCACTTCATTACTAAGAGGATTTGAAGTTTTCCCATCATTGATTGTTGACAAGTCTGTGTGGTGGTGGTGGGATGAATTTGATTCTGAGATAAAATATTAATAACTGGTTGGCCAGAGCTGAAAATAGTTGGTGGTTGACCTGTTGCGGGTACATCTATTGAAGGATGTATAACACTGGGATGGAACTCACGGTTACTACTTTGTAATACATGATTACTGTGAGTATTTTGATCGTTTGAGTCAGTATTCTCATCATCTTCATCGCCATCATCGTCGTCGGTGTCTAACACAGTATTCTCGTCGTCCTCCTCCTCATCATCATCAATGGCATAGGAGACTAGACCTGCGGAAACTAATTGTGTGAATATAGGGAAAATAATTAAAAGCTTTGTAAAGAATCACACCTACTTGGTAATTTACGTTTTTTTCCTGGGACTGGTACATTGTGTGATGAATCTGTTTTATTATCATTACTGTTTTCATCGTTCTTCTCATCAATAATGTCAGTGCTCTTCTTCAAAGATTGTTCTTCCTCCGTCGCCGTCGTCTTTAAATCAGCATTCTCGGGTTGGACAGATGAATGCGCTGTAATTTTAGGCATACATAGTACAGTAAAATATACATATATATACTTACATGTATTTGTCTGATCGGTTGGTGATCGCATATGTTCATCTTCTGAGGTGTATATTGCTGGAATTTGTTCATATTCTGTGAAAAGACATCAATAGATAAATACGATCATTATTAGTCTACTAACTGACAAACTGGTTGAAGAAACAGCCGGCGAAGACATGACTCCAGGTGAACAAAGACAAGACGGAGGTTATGAAAATAACCAACCAACCAACAACAACATCCAGCGCCAATCACCATCAACAACGGAAGGGATTTGAAAGAGGTTACTTCATTCACTTATCATTTAGGGAGCATTGTCTCAAATACAGGAGAATCGGGAAGGCGAGAAACGCACACATTCATCAACCTGAAACCAATCTGGAAATCTTCGTCACTCAACTCAGAATCAACAACAAAATTCGATCGGATTTTCAATACAAACAACGTCAAGTCAGCTCTTCTATATGCATCAGAAACTTCGCGGGCGGGTCACAAAGAATATTTCCAACAGCTTGTTGCAGACCTTCATCAACCAACAACTGTCTTCGCTGGATCTATACTGAAGATCAGATGGCCGGGCCGTAAAGAATCACCAACAAGAGAAACTATGGGAACAAACAAGGACCAATCGCCAACCAAAAAATATGCAGGAGAAAGTGGATTGAGATGGACTGGATATTCGCTGAGGAGGCCGCTGGGTGACATTGCGCGCGCGTCAGGCCATTGCTCGAGTGGAACCTGTAAGGGAAGCGGCGAGTGGGACGTCAGTGCAAGGGTGACATGGAGGACATCGTGTGAAGAGGAGTTGAAACAGTATGGACTAACTAACATGGATGCAGGTGAAAAGTACAGCAGAAGGAAGACAGAAGCAAGTGTAGACGTGCAGCTGAAACCCTATGTTCCACTAGGAACCCAAGGGAACAATAATTAAAAAAATAATAGTTTACTAACAGTTGGCATGTCACGAAAAGCATCTCCGACAGGCCACTCCATATTGAAGATCAAATAACCAGGAAGAATTAAGAATAAGAAACTATGGGGGAGTGGGGGCGGACAAGTCGATCAAGAACCTGTTGCTCAAAAAATATCTTGGAAAAATGGGGATGCTAAGGAGACCGTCAAATGACATCACGCTCCAGGCATAACTTAGAGTGGAACTCGAGCTGGGCAAGAATCCTAGGGTGACATGGAGGAAATCGTGCGAGAAGAAGATAAGAGCCTATGGGGAATTGTGGGACTGGCTAAAGAGGATCACAGAGAACAAGACAAATCGGAGATTAACTGTTGAAGCCGTATGTTCCACTTGGAATTCAATAGTTTACTGACATTAATCAAAAGAGAATATAATACCGCGAGCTAACCATGTCCCCAGATTCCTACTCTGTCGAGCACCTTAATCATTAATAAATATTAAAGCAATCGCTAAAAGCTTTAACCTACACTTTCATCTCGTCAGCATTTAATAACGTGATGTATCTGGAGCCTTGTGTGTCGGTGGTGGGACAGCGGTAGAATGCTCGCCAACCACGCTTCACGTGGTCCGGGGTTCGATCCCTGGCCACCGACGCACTCCTTTACTTCGGTAAACCAGTAATAAGAGTGGTAACGAGGGAAGGTTGGGAGGGGGGGCATGAGGCTAGCAACCCCATCCGGTTAAAATAAACACACAACTGCTACTGAAACTTCAAAGCTCCAGCTTAAAGCCGCCCTATGTTCTACTGAGAACGTGAAGGAATAAAAAAATCTGGAGCCTTGACGGAACTCCTATTCCCTTTGACACTTACAAAAAGGGATTGATCCACAGAATTAGCCATTGTGTTTATTTATGGATTTGAAACTTGCCAGCTGATAGATAAAGTGAATGTAAGCGACATGAGTCAATCAAAATACAACAGTGATTGTTATTGGTTCGATATCTTCGTCAGGTAGTGTTAAGTAGATCACATATTAGGTCTGAGTGTTTTAGATCTTCAAAAGAGATAGTGGTCAAAGTTTACACAAGCAGATAAGTAATCTCAAGCTTTCACAGAATACGTAAACATATGTATATCTTAAAAAAAACAGTGCGAAATAAACATCAAGATTACCGGTCTCATCAAGCAGATCTTCGCTTAGACCTGCGTTCATAGGATCTGAAACAGAAAAGAAAAACAGGTATTTATTCGCATGCACGTAATTAACAAAATCAATACCTGAAGTAGCAGAAGTTTATACCTCCAGCATCCTAATGACAAATAAAACTTCAAGTTACAGGATTTCATCATGATCTGACATCGGTTAGAGAACCATTGGAAAACCACCTGGGAGTACTGGACAGCCAGCTGTTTCATTCTAGTTTAGGACTCTTCACCGGTACTTGAAAAATTCAAGTATAATTGTTCATTGACATTCTTCATCAGTTAAGGTTACCATGTTGGAAAAGAGCTAGCCAGTGGTGGTCAAACCAAAACATGGCTTCATCAGTCAATTAAATCCACAATAGTTACTTTAAGCCAACCAGTCGCATAGGGAGGCAAGTGTAGACTTCATGACTGGTAGGAGTCCTCAAGATGCTAAAAGCCAATGAAGGCTGAAAACAATTGGTCATATGACTCAAAATCTTTCTCAATGATTGATGCAGATGCATTCACTCTCTGTGATTTGTCACTCAAATTCAATAAAACTATTGTTAAGTAAAAACACAGTGTTTTTTTTGTTCAACGAAGAAATACACTTTCTTTTCAACGACTTCAGTTTCAAGCTGTACAGTCGTATTTATGTTACAGAAAAAGGTTATTAAGTGGCACTAAATAATTGCCCAGTCAATGTACGTATATATGTGATAAGAATAATAATAATTAAAATGTTAAAAGAGGTAGAGTTGAAGTGGATGAATTACAAAATTATTAAAGATTGCTTTATAAAAGAATTGATATCCAAAAATATTTTTTTAAAGTGTCAAGCGTGTCTAAAAATTTTAAAAATTAGGAGTACAATTACGATAAGAATAATGATGTGAAGTGATATATATATATGTAATATAAATACGACTGTACAGCTTGAAAATGAAGTCGTTGAAAAGAAATTTCTTCACTGAACAAAAAAACTGTGTTTTTAGTTATGAATAAATGGGTATTTTTCGTGATTTAAAACTATTGTTCTTCCATATATTACTATTCTTTCTGCCTTATATTTCGGTTTATTATTTCTTCTCTTAGTTTGTGTGCTCCATGGGGAGGGAATGTGGCAACTCAAACTAATGCACAACTGTGCAAAGTTCTACACTGAAACCAGTCGGTCACTCAAGTTACCATATTTTGTACACAGTATTCGGATAAAGAAATCAACAGAAACAGAAAGTACTGATGGAAAGAATGAATTAATTCAGCATCAGTGTAAGCAGCATTGAGGTTTTCAATCAACGAAGAAAAAGAAAAGACAGTGAGTAGTCGTCAAAAACAAACTTCTTTTGACGAAAAGTTACTTTTGTGCCTGCCTTTCACTGTTAAAATTCCGTACCGATAAAGGATAAACAAACCGAATGAAGCCTTCTTTTATTTACTATACAGCTATCTGCCTTATCAACTATATACATCAGTAGAATCACACATAAAGCAACAAAATAAATGCAAGGAGACTACCGTACACCAGAAATATGACCAGTACACTATGTGATTATTTGTCTAGACTGCAGATGGTAATTTCTCTACCATTAACCTCGGCTTTCGACCAAAAGGCGAGTGTACTGCTCAGCAGTTCGCTCCATCCTCCTTTACAACTGTCAGCGAGACATGGTCATCGAAAGTGGAAGACATAAAAAGGCTAGCCATCTTTGATCATAGGTGCCTGTTTCATCTCCCGTTTGAAGTGGTATAAGAGAGTGAGGAATATTAAGGTGAGAGGCCAAGTGATAGGTAGGTGGGAGCGGAAATCAATCGATGAGGTGGTTGTGAAGTTAAATCGACTGAGATGGTTAGGACATATGTTACGCATGCATCCCTAGCCATCGCCTTCCTCGATGGGCAATGTTAGGCGTCATAGGGTTAGGTTGGAAAAGAGCTAATGGTGGTCAAGCCAAAACATGGCCTCATCAGTCATGAAATCCATAACTGTTAGTTTAAGGCGGGAGACATGTAGGGAGGTGCAGACTTCCTGGTTGAGGTCATCAGGACGGTAAAATGCAATAGCTTGAGACAATCGGTGATATGGCTCAAAATCGTTCTCAATGGTTGTCACAGATTCATCCACTCCTTGTGACTTATAATATCCAATAAAACTATACTGTTCTTTGATATTACTATTCCTTTGTCTCATATCCCTGTCTACTACCTCTCTTTTGCAATTGTTCTACTTTCTTCTCTTGCTTCGTGTGCTACAAGGAGGGAGTGTGGCGACTTGAGCTGCTGTACATCGATGCAAAGTTCTATGTCAAAAACAGACAGACAGACAGATACGTTTCACCGGAATGCAATGTATATCCATAATTTAATTTTGACAAGTCAGTCAAATTTCCTTTTACTTCAGAAATGATTTTGCGTAATACTACTAGATTTTATTTTCAAACCTGTATACTTTTTTCTTAGCGTTGACTAACGTTCATTTTCATTCCCCCGTAACTATTTTCCTATTATATCGAAAAAATTATCACCTTTACTTTTACCTTTTGTCTGTCTGTCTGTCTGTTTTCGATATAGAACTTTGCACAAATGTGCGGAAGTTCAAGTCGCCACACTCCGTGTAGCACGCGAAGCAAGAGAAAAAAGTACAAGAAAAGCATAATAGAAACAGTGAGGAGAGGTGTGAGACAAAGGAGTAATAAAGAAAAACAAAACAGTTTCATTGGTGGAGATCATATGTCACAAGGAGTGGATGCATCTGCGCTATCCACTGAGAACGATTTTGAGCCATGTCACCAATTGTTTCCAACCATAGATTTTTACCGTCCCGAGGACCCCAGCCTGGAAGTCTACACCTTTCTACGTGGCTTAGACCAACTGTTGTGGATTTCATTGACTGGTGAGGCCAAGTTTTTGTTTGACCGCCGCTAGCTTTTTTCCAGCCTGACCCTATATCCGCTAACATTGCTCGTCCAAACAACACTTGTAAATTTTTGGAACGAAAATGTATGAAACTAATTGTAAGGTTATCGAAAATAAAATATTTTGCTTACTTGAATAAAATATCTGAATCTGAGGGGTACTTCACGAAAAAAAATGCATTTAGGCTGGGCTATATGTTCTGTTAAGTGACTTATGGATACTTTTAAAATCTTAATTTAGGCAGCTATTACAAAAAGAGGTCAGATGATATGCCACTGTATTCGGAGGGAGTCAACTAGAGAAATACTTCAAGAGGAGCTTTTAACTAACGCATTGTCTTGGAAACCAGTTGGTGAAGATCGCTACAGGTGAAAGTTATTTACATGAGAACCCCATCTCGAGTAGTACGGTTTACTTTTAGAAACTCTATAGACAGATAATACTTCACCATTTATAAATAATTCAAATAGACTTCATCAACGTGACACATATTGCTGATTGATGAGTACTTGTCGACCACTCACATTAATTAGTAGTATCAGACAGCCATGCGGGTGGTCACAACACTGGGATACGAGCTCATTTAAGTAGAAATTATTATCACTGGATGAATACATCCGTTGGTCTGAATACAGACCCAATAATACTGTTTCGTATTAACCAGGAGTCGAATTCTATCTCATTTCGTGGATACAGAACACATGATTGATGTTAACCAGGAGGCTTTCAAAGTCATCCGCCGTATATCAAGTAATCTTAATTTCGCTTTAAAATTTCGTCTACTACATATTGCTGAGGCTGTTGGGATCTACTAGGACCGATTTTAGCCGAAATTTTTCTTGCACAACTAAAGAATGGGCGTTTGAAAGAAGTGATTGATAAACTAGAATCCTACTGTCAATACAGGGATGATACGTTTCCGATTATCAAAACTGAGGATAAAGCAAAGAACATCGTGGACAAATTTTACGGTGTTCATCCAGCAATAAATTTTACCATCGAGAAAGAAAGAGACTCTAGTATTTCATTCATAGACGTCCTTATGACTAGAAAAGAGGAAGGAACAATCAGAAGTGTATAAAGAAAACCTGCATTAACGGGTCAGTATACTCATTTTTCAGCTTCGTGCATTTGAAATACAAACAATCTAATAAATTGCTTGGTCCACAGAGCACGATCAATCTGCTCTAATGAACGCCCTAATGAAGAGCTTAATATCATTAAACAGTTCCTGATTGAGAGCGGTTACCCAGAAAAATTCATCGATAAGAATATGAATCAGAAGTCAGAGCAGACCAAAGTACTGAAAGTTCCGAAAAAGGCCTTATTCATACAACTTCACTTCTTCAGGGATAATATCAGTGAGATATTAACACAACGTCTAAATAATGCGGTAAAAAGACTGACTGATTTTTTTCAACATAGAACTTTGCACAGAAGTGCAGTAGTTCCGGTTACCACACTCCATATAACACACAAAGCAAGAGGAGAGGAGAGAGTTTCAAAACAGAGATAACCAACATAAATATGAGGCGGAAAGAATAGTAATATGGAAGAACAGTATAGTTTCACTGGATATTGTAAGTCACAAAGCGTGAATACATCTGCGCTGTGACTGAGAACGATTTTGAGCCATATCACCAATTGTCTCCTTCCATTTGTGTTTACCATCCCGTGGGCCCAAAACAGGAAGTCTACACCTTCTTACATAACTTAAACTAACTGTTGTGGGTTTCATTGACTAATGAAGCCATGTTTTGGTTTGACTACTACTGGCTCTTTTACAACCTGACCCTATGTCAGCTTACATCGCCCGTCGAGGAAGGCGATGGCTATTGATGCATGCGTAACACACGTACTAACCATCTCAATCGGTGTAACTTCATAGCCTCGTCGATTGATTTCCCCTCCCACCTACCTAGCACTTGACCGCCAATGACTAACCTCAACATTGCTCACCCTACTATATCACTTAACATGGGAGATAGAACTCACCTATGACCAAAGACAGCTGACTGGCCCTTTCATGTCTTCCATTTCAATGGCCATGTCTCGCTCACAGCCATAAAGGTTAACGGAGCGGCGTGATGAGCAGTACACACGTCCTTTGGTCGATAACCAGTCGGGTATCACGTCTACTAAGCCAGAGATGGCGTAAACTGGCATATGCGAATCTAGCTCTCAGTATCCGTGCTGAGATTTCGTCAGTGATCAACCCATTGTGGCTGATGCAACTTCCCATCATCACCATCCCGCATACTAACTAATCTTGACTTTAACTTAATAGTTCGTCTATTACATTACTGCTGAGTCTTTTGCAGACTACATTACGAAGTCTAACTTATGTATCCAAAAGAAGTTGGTCGAGACACTTTCCTTACTCCATCGGACATCACGGTTTTAATGATTCTTAATCTGTAATAAAAATTTCCCTACTTTTATGTGATATCCTAATTGCTATTACGTTTTTATGGTTATAATTTATGCACCTTTCGTTAGCTGTGGTAATTCCATTGATCTTAACGAATCGAGAGTACTTAAAAACACCAGTATTTTTAGTGACGACTTATATATAGCCAGAATTGGAAATTATTGAATAGGATATTTTTTGCTCAACATTTTTTTCTTCTTAATGTCTGAGGGAATATTCTCTCCACAGTTAATCAAATGAGCTGGTCAGTGACAGAAAATAGTAGCTCCACAGACGAGTAGTTGGATGTCTATAAAAATCCAATCTTAGCACACCTGTCCACTGCTACATATTTGTGGCTTACTGAGAAATTCCCGCATGATTGAAATATATATGGTAGTGAAGTATACGTGTGCTAATTGAGGAACTATGTATTTCATACATACTTGCTGGAGAGAATTAAAGGTTTACGAATTGGTCGACAGAAGATACTTAATAGAATCACCACATAAACACTTCAATTTTAGTTACAGCCACTACGTATTACGAAATGACAGTAACTTCACACATAAAGTACATTCAAGGATTTGTTTCAGTTGTACGGAATTAGGAAACAGACGGTTAGTATTCATATCAACATGTCACTACATTGCCACATGGTGATCGATTCAAACCATCGATGTGGCCATTTCCAGTATTTGTAGCACCATGTTCCCTTTAGAACTAATAAAGATGATGTGGAGACTTTGATTTGTAAACTATTTGCACATTAAAAAATAATTGGTGACTTCCAACACAAAGTTAAACAGCTAGACGAACTTACCAACAACTTTAACGTAAATTCCACTTTAACCTTGAGATTTTAAAAGGGCGGCAACGAGTGCAGCATAATACGGATCCAATATCCAGCAGAGCTTTTACCAACTTTTGTAAGGTGAATTGGTTTCTTCGGGCCTGCTTCTTGGTATAATCGTAAATTTCTGCTTAGTTTATCCCATCCTTTGCTTGCTGTAGGTTTGGTTGACTCTGAAGGGAATGTAGGGAAAATGCGTTGTATGTAGTTTACACTATATGGTGTTTTAAGACAATTATGCTGCTGTAAATGGAATCAATTGTTTCAGCCATTATTATCTTATGGTACTTCGAAACCGAGATAGTTGTGCTTATTCTTTTGCTGTAACCAGTGGAGATCATGAAGACTGAAACAGGAAAACTAAGACAGACGCGGACACCAAGATGACTGGTGAATGACTGATGAAATGAGAATTCCTATCAATTCGCGAAATATATAACACAATTTTATAAAACATTATTCACAAAATAAATTTACATATGGAAATTTCAACCAACATGCCGGATAAGTCCAGTTCAGATAAATAGATGAAGTGTCACAATCATTGGGTGAGTGTGTAGTGCACATTGTACCTTTGAACTTTTGTTTAAACTGACTCACCCACGGTGATCCACGTTTTACCTTTTGACTTGTGAGTCTTCCGTACCTTCATTGGTTCGCTCTCTTGTTGTGCTCTCTTTCTGCACACTCTCCGAGCCTACCTCCAGCAACGTCTGCAGATAAGTTGTACGACTTCTTTATTTATTGAATTTTATATTTCGTTGAATAAAATATAATTCTCCCAGGTACTCTTGTCACATCAAGTCTTTTTACAACGATACAGTTCGTCAGTATTTGCGCGTCGAGTAGTGTACTGCTAAGCTTAGCAGGTCGCAAAACGGTGAAGAAGTTTGTAAGGGTGTTTAGAGTATAGGTCCACTCTAAGCCGTAGTAGAACTCTTACAAGTGGTGAGCCCGTTTTCACCGTTTCCCGCTATAGTAGCTTAACGTGTTAACGATTCTTTTTACGTACCGTTTATTTTGTTATTTTTTTTCCTTTCACGCACGGTTATAAAGATTCGATTTGTTTTCTTTGTACTTATATTGGTTTTTTTATCACCTTGTTAATATTGTGCCCTGTGTGCAAGATGGCTGACAACAGTTCTGCGTCAGAGATGGCTATAACGCTGCAACTCCCCGCCTTCTGGACACATCGTCCAGCTGCATGGTTTAATCATATAGAGGCTCAGTTTGCCATTAGACACATACACTCACAAGAGACCAAAGTAAACCACGTGATTGTGAGCCTACCCGAAAGTGTCATAGACGAGGTGGCTGACGTTCTCGCAGATCCGTCTCCGGATCGGTACGAGCGGCTCAAACAGGCGTTAATTCAACGAGTCGCACTTACTGACCAACAGAAAGTGCAGGAACTTTTCCGCGATGTTCAGTTAGGTGACCGCAAGCCCTCACAAATGTTGAGGCAGATGAAGCAGCTAGTGGCGGACTTTAAAATTGACGAGGTTTTTCTCAAACAACTTTGGCTTCAAAGATTACCTCAGGCAGTCCAGGGTATCTTAGCACCGATCTACAAGTACCCCTTACAGGAGATAGCCGAGGCAGCTGATAGAGCCGTAGAGGCCATCAATCCCAAAATTGGCATTTCCGCAACAGTAACTGCTGCTCCCGCTCAGACTAAAGATTCGTCTGATGGGGGGTCATCAAGCTTTGACGCGGTGGCCCATATAGCCAAGCTATACGAGGAGATCTGTAGTATACGACAGGAGATGAACTCCAGGAGTCGTGGACGCAGTCCCTCGAGTTCGCGTAGTAGTAGACCCTTGCCACGTGCTAGCAGCAAGCGCCGACAGTCCCGAAGTAACCAGCCTGGAGTGTGCTGGTATCATCGACGTTACGGAGCAAAAGCCCAAAAGTGCACTCGCCCGTGCACCTTCGATGTTCAACAGTCGGGAAACTAGCAAGCCAGCACGTACTGGCGACTAACGTCGCTGGCGAACCACTCTCATGTCGCCTCTTCTATGTTACCGACCGTAACACTGGGATACGCTTCCTAATTGATACCGGAGCAGAGGTCAGTGTAATCCCACCCACAGTAGAGGAGCGCAGGCGGCCAATGTCTCTTCAACTACGAGCCGCAAACGGTTCGCCAATTGCTACGTTCGGCAGGCGCTTTATAGATCTTAACATCGGTTTGCGTCGTTCACTTCGTTGGGTCTTCCTGGTGGCAGACGTTACCACAGGTATAATTGGCATGGATCTATTGCAGCACTACCAATTACTGGTAGATACAGGTAATCATAAGTTAAAAGATCCTGTCACAAACCTCTCCGTCAGCGGTATCGTCACACAAGGCCCAGCCCTCAGCCCGGTATATGCCACACCCACTAGCACTGGTCCTTATTCGCATATACTGCAGTCTTTTTCAGATTTGTTCAAACCTAGCAGCGGCCTGCCATGTGCGACTTCCAACGTCAAACACCATATTGTCACTACTGGCCCGCCAGTTTTCGCAAAGCCGAGGCGACTATCCCCAGAAAAACTAAAGGTTGTCAAAGCGGAGTTTGAGCATATGCTGGAAATGGGGATTATTAGGCCATCCAGCAGCCCGTGGTCCTCACCGTTGCACCTGGTACCTAAGAATAACGGTTTAGATTGGCGTCCTTGTGGCGACTACCGCAGACTAAACGCACAAACTGTTCCCGATCGCTACCCTGTCCCGCACATACACGATTTAACCGCCTCACTCAAGGGAGCTCGAGTATTCAGCAAACTGGACCTTACACGGGCTTACTACCAGATTCCCGTCGACCCCGAAGATATACCTAAGACTGCTGTGATTACACCGTTTGGCCTGTTCGAGTTTCTTCGAATGCCTTTTGGCTTACGGAACGCTGCACAAACCTTCCAGCGTTTTATACATGACGTTTTGCGCGGGCTTGATTTCGCCTTCGCCTATCTGGACGATATCTTGGTAGCTAGTCCAGATGAAGCCACTCATCAACTTCATTTGCAGACAGTTTTCCAAAGACTTGTGACACACTCCCTCACACTCAACTTGCCGAAGTGTCAGATTGGAGTCACTTCCCTGAAATTTTTGGGACATAGGATAGACAAAGATGGAATTTATCCGTTACCTGACCGGGTAGAAGCTATTCAAAACTTCCCTCTACCCACTTCTCCCAAGGCACTACGCACTTTTCTCGGGATGGTTAGTTACTACCGTCGCTTTATCCCACAGTGTGCTCATATCGTGACCCCCTTGACTGACATGCTTAAAGGGAAATGCAAGTCTTTGGTGTTCACTAAGGAAGCCTCGACAGCTTTTGCAGCTATCAAGAAAGCTATTGCTGACGCCACAATGTTGGTCCATCTAGATGTTCAACTTCCAATCAGCATCTCCGTAGATGCCTCTAATACTGCGATCGGAGCCGTCCTTCAACAGCGTATGGCTAATGTATGGCTACCGATTGCTTTCTTTTCACGTAAACTTACCGCATGCGAATCTCGATACAGCACATTCGGTAGGGAACTTCTCGCTGTCTACGCTGCTGTCAAGCATTTTCGTCACTTCGTGGAAGGCCGGCAATTTACGGTATTTACCGACCATAAGCCATTGACGTACGCCCTCCACACTACTTCAGACCGGTATTCACCGCGAGAATCACGCCATTTAGACTATATTTCCCAGTTCACTTCTGATATCCAGCACGTTTCTGGATCGGATAACGCGGTAGCAGACGCTTTGTCTCGCGTATGTGCTACGTCCGTACCACCAACCATCGATCTTCATAAAATGGCCGAACTCCAACTGAACGATTTGAACTTAGAACACCTGTCAAATAAAACCTCACTGAAAATAGAACGCGTCCCCTTGCTAAACAGTGAGGCAACTATACTTTGCGATATGTCAACTGGTACTCCTCGACCGATTGTTCCCACGTCTTTACGCCGAACTGTGTTTGAGTCACTCCACAACCTCTCCCATCCTGGCATACGAGCAACGGACAAGTTGATTTCTGCGAGATTTGCGTGGCCCGGTATGAACCGTGATGTGCGTCAATGGACACGTGCTTGTGTGCAATGCCAACGTGCTAAAGTCACCAAGCATAACATCACGCCGTTGGGGACGTTTGCGACCCCAGACGCTCGGTTCCATCATATCCACCTGGATATAGTAGGGCCTCTGCCCCCGTCTAACGGCTGCTCGTATTTACTCACATGTGTGGATCGTTTCACACGTTGGCCGGAAGCCATTCCGATACCAGATGTAACGGCTCAAACCGTCTGTCGTGCCTTCATGGATGGCTGGGTTGCCCATTTTGGATGTCCCGCAACTGTCACTACCGACCGCGGACAACAGTTTGAATCCACAAGCTTCAAAGAATTGTTAGAGATGCTGGGATGCAAACGCATTCGCACAACCGCGTATCATCCCGCGGCAAATGGCCTAGTAGAACGTTTCCACCGTCAACTCAAAGCTGCGTTGATGGCAGTGGACAACAGTAAGTGGACAGATTCGCTACCACTGGTCCTGCTTAGCATCCGGGCTACGCTTAAGGGGGATCTGCAGTGCTCGCCAGCTGAATTGGTGTACGGTACCACCATGCGTTTACCAGGCGAGCTAATCGCTCCCGAAACTTTCGAGCCAAATTTCCCGGATACCACCCGTTACGCTCAGCAACTTAAAAGTTTTATGCAGCGACTCCGACCAGTTTCCACACGCACTCAGAACCGAAAGGTTCAGGTTGATCGGCGACTTGATGACTGTACACACGTTTTCGTGCGTCACGACGCCATACGAAAGCCATTACAACCACCGTATGACGGGCCTTTTAAGGTCCTTAGTCGTAAAGATAAATTTTTCGTTATTGACCGATGCGGCCGCCCAGACACTGTCAGCATAGACAGACTTAAAGCGGCATACACTGAAGAACCTTCACCCTCCCCATCGGCTCAATCAAATAGCCCCACTGAACCTAGTCCTTGTCCAGACTCAACTACCTCACCTCCGGTGGTGAATGATGATTCTCCTACCGTCACCAGTAAGACCCCGGTCACACGTGCTGGTCGACGTGTTCACTGGCCCAAGAGGTTCGTAGAATTCTTTCACTGAACTAATCCATAGGTAAGGCTACTAGTGATTTTTTATTCCTTGTCACAATTTCTTATTCAATTCTGCTATATTTAATCTATTTGGTCCCGCTTCTGGGAGTAGTCGTTTTAACCCTCACTAATCCTTTTAATCTTTATCTCTCGTTACAGAGGACCAGCATCAGTTTGTTTTTACCCCTAATTTTTCATCTCAATCTACTCGCTAGATCAGTTGGCTTTTCATGTCATCTTGTAACCCACACCAAAAGAGGAATTATGAACAGTATATTACCTTTCACTGCCCATTTTCTTCCAAAAAAAAATTAATTATTATTAAAAAAAATTTTTATAAAAAAAAAGAAAATACAAAAAAGTAAAAAAAATGTAAAATAATAATAAATAAACAAAAAAAATTTTTTTAAATAAAAAAAGATTATTTAAAAAAAAAAACTTCCATTGTATAGTTAAATGGACAGATATATATATTTTTTTGCGCATAAATGCTTCACTTCTATGCTGTACATAGTAATCCGCTCAATTTATTTTCACAGCCTGTACTATATTCCTTCGGGTTTATGCCCTCCTGCAATTCATTTATTTTGTGAACCGTACTTATAAACATTATGCATCATCTTAGTTATGCACTTAGCAACATGAACAAAGTAATTTTGGTAATGATAACTACTCATAGCTATGGGTTATGTACTAACTTCTCTGTAATTTTATAAGTTCTCACAGGGTAGAAACTTCCTTTGTTTTATCTCATTCTAACGTACTACTTCCAAGTTGCACCACTTTTCCTCGCATTGATTTCGCACAAGCTTTTGTAGTACCTTTACACCGATTTTGAAATCTTAACCTTCTTTCCCATTTTCTTCTGTTGTTTTTTTTACCCTGCTCCTTATCATACGCTGGTATAATGATTGCCTTTAACATGACTGCTAGGTTCTGTTGAAGCGGAGGAAGGGAGCATTGGTCTAATATGAAAGTTAGACATAATGAGTCACCTTCTTGCTACGACAGCCTCGGCGCCAGAGGTTTACCATCAAACCTCCACATAAGTAAGCTTGTAATAGTGCGGAATTAAAAAAAAAGAATGAATCGATACAATAAAAAAAATATAATAAAAAACAAAGACTAATAAAAATATGAAAAAAAATTAAAAAAAACATCAGACCGCAGAAGCTTACAACCACACAAGGCACCAGCGTCATTTCTTATCATATTCCGTCTTACTTCACTAATCATGTACATACCACTTCCAACTTACCTTAATTTTTTTTCTTTTCTTTTGCTTTCTTTCCTTTCGGTAAAAAATTTTTTTTTTACTATTGCTATTTTCAAACCTTCTCATTCACTCATTGCTATTGTGCAAAGCCATCCTACTGTTGTATATCGAAGCTTGCTGGCTTCCCACCAACCTTCTAGGGGGGGATAACCTGTAGTGCACATTGTACCTTTGAATTTTTGTTTAAACTGACTCACCCACGGTGATCCACGTTTTACCTTTTGACTTGTGAGTCTTCCGTACGTTCATTGGTTCGCTCTCTTGTTGTGCTCTCTTTCTGCACACTCTCCGAGCCTACCTCCAGCAACGTCTGCAGATAAGTTGTACGACTTCTTTATTTATTGAATTTTATATTTCGTTGAATAAAATATAATTCTCCCAGGTACTCTTGTCACATCAAGTCTTTTTACAACGATACAGTTCGTCAGTATTTGCGCGTCGAGTAGTGTACTGCTAAGCTTAGCAGGTCGCAAAACGGTGAAGAAGTTTGTAAGGGTGTTTAGAGTATAGGTCCACTCTAAGCCGTAGTAGAACTCTTACAATTGCATGAGAAGGTAAATAAATCGGAAGGTGGAGACAAGAAGGACTGGGCTAGGATAAAAGATGAGTTTAGATGATAACAGTCACCGGAGTGTAGTATTTAGTTGTCTAAGAGGTAGCCTATCTAGACAGTCATTGTGTTACCGGATGACTATTAAGCCACTGATTGAGGATTTCAGTGGATAATGCAGTATCCACAGTCCGTGTCAGGGACGGAAATTCCAGAGACAAAAAAGTGAGCGTTCGAATCATTTGCTCTTAGACGCACGATCTTCGACTGGTTGTCAAAGGGAAGGCCGTAATGATTTATCGACGCTGCTTCGGACTCTTTCTGAATTACTGGCATCATTCTCAGGTAACAGTGAGTCAGTGATATGAGGCACTTAAGGATACTGCCATTCACGTCTTTCGCGGGAGCGGGCGCGCCTAGCTGTCTATGCCTCAAGTGGATAACTGTTTATGCCGTCACGTCATACTCTTCCTTTAGAACAAGATCTAAGTCGCCCCCTTACTTCTCAATGTCTTTGTTGCACCAGGAGTAATTTATTCTCAGCGTGTTCTGAATATGTAGCTGTACCACTCGTTGCTTTTCGGCTGGAAGAAATACCAATGCTATCTGCTTAGTCTTGTAGAATCCAACGTCAGCCTGAAGGTTGTCTTAACCTTCCTAACATACAACCGCTCTCCAAATGTTTATGTCACCAGCGTAAAGAAGAGCCGACTGGTTATGCCGGGATTGCAGATCATTTTAACACTGAAGGTTCAAAAGGCTGCTCTGTGAAATTCCCGAAGTCGAGCAGCTGCCGGACGGCCTGAAACGGCTGAATTTGGTGCTTAGTTCACCTCCATTTAAGTAGCTTTAAAACATGGGGAATGTAAGCCACAAATAACTGCCTGGTCCATTCTGTGTTAGGGAACGCATCAATGCACGGTGTCGTAATCTTTCCATCATTCGGGAGATCTTTAGTGTGGAGTAGCTTATGATCCTTATTTTGAAAAAATCGGTAATGCATTGGGAGTGCTGCTCCGGACCAGCTTGCATAAAAACAACCTGGACATTTAATTTTCGGAGGGTTTCTGAGAGGTTGATTCCGCCACTTCTCTGCTACAGACCCACGGTCACCGTAGTCAGTCGGAGTTTGATCATAATCGCACGGAAATTTGTGGTATGTGTGACGACTGCATCACCTCCGAGGTTGAATTTAGTCGTCTCACCGTGCGGTTGTTCTTTGAGGTTGAAAGGGATGAGAATATAATAACGACTGTAAAGAAAATTTTGATAAAATTGAAGAAATGAGCATCAGTCTATCACAAGCGGGAAGGTCGTCGGTGATTGTAGGGATTTTGTTTTACACCTATTATTCGTCTCAAGGCTTGGCTGATCTACAAGAAACCGGTTAGTTAGGCTGCTTTACCAGATTTGGAGCTGGTTTCCAGCTGGTTTTGGCTAGCTATGACACTCACAATTGATTTGTGGCTATCTATCCTGCCATACCTAAGTCCTAGCCACACTACCTGTTGACTTTTTACACTGGCCCATTTAATCTGGTGGTAAGGCTGCTCTAAACATCTCTCCAG